GTTATTGGCACAAATGTTGAACAAGAAGTAGACAGTCATTGTCTGTATTTTCCACTTATCTTTCAGTGATGTCAGGAAATAGTTTTCAAGGTGAATCCTTTAGAAGAGATAGCTGTAATGTGCGTACATAGTTGAATACATCATTATATATTTTATTCCTCTGCCATTTTTACATATGCTTCATTGCCAGGCTGTCCTCACAAAGCACAGTTTTTGATTCCCAAGTCCTGTTCCCTTCCCGTTATCCAACGTTTTACTGCTTAGCAAGTAGAAAGAAGTCTTTCATTGCAAAGCCACATTTAATTGCCTCGAAACTGAAGAGGCTTCTCTGTAATGTAAACGTGCCAGGCAGGGTGTATGGGAGGCGTTCTGGAGGTGATCTGAATCATATTAACCTCTCAAGTCTATCCATACAAGATCCTGGGCTCTCGCTGATAATTCTGCTATTCAGTCCAGAATATTAGCACCATACCAGCAGTCCCATCCCCCAACTATGCTCCTAAATCTTGAGTAAATAGCCACAAAGTCAACAGTGGAACTACATATAAAATTCAAGAGGATTACAAAATAAACTTTGGGAAGGAATATATTTCTGTGATCATTTTTTTTTCCTCAGAATTGAAGATCTGCATGTGTAAAAAATGTTAATTATTTCTTGTTTTTTCTTCTGAGATCACTTTCAGGTTGACTGTTTTTTAAGGTTTAATAGAAACTATTGAGTGGAAACTGCTATCAACAATGCATAACAATCTTTTCCTATTCAAATTGTGCACAACACTACTCCCCTTTAACCCAATCTTAATAAACACAAACATCTTCTGTAAAATCATACAAAGTGCATCCAAATATAAGGCCCCTTTCAGATGGTATGGACTCGTCAGTGGATCCGCCTGCTTAGTGGGGGATCTCTCCGCTGATCCCTGCTGAGCAGGCGGATGAAAGGTCTGTGTCTGCTCCGCTGTTGCAGTGCAATCACAGACAACTGTCTTTTATGGGCGGTCAGATGGAAACGGATTATCTATACATTTCCATCCCATCCGATAGGCCAGACAGATGGGGAACGCATCCCCATCCATCTGTTTTTGGTGTACAGGATCGGATCTGATGCCGGCGGGTGTCAGCGGACACTTGTCCGCTGACACCCGCCAGTCCATAGAGGTCTATGGATGGTCTAATTGGGTCCACCTTTCAGTTTTTCAGGTGATCGGACCATCATCGTGAAAGGGGCCTAAATCCTCAACTTTAAATAATGTGTTAAAAACAAAACAATAAATTGTAAAGAGCTAGAAGTGATATAGTTCATGCTTATACACCCATAACAGTGCAATCCCATATATAGTGCTCCATACAGTGCAAAAAGTCCATAAAGTAAAGACTGTGCAAACTGTTGACGCTATATAAATCCTGTATAATAATAATAATAATAATAATAAATCTTCAGCCAAAAGTGTTGTTACAAAAAGTCTTGTTTCTACTTCCAAAACCTGGTGTTCACGTCCACCTTGGGCCCTCCAATGATATTGAACTCTTATTTAAGAGGTGTGTGTTTCTCCTCAGGGCACGATCTCATCTCCTGATCTCAGTTCATTCTTCTCCAAACATATACAAACATCAGTGTTTGCACCACAAAACACTCAAGTATTAAAAGAGCTCACCTAGCACTAAAGCCTCATACACACAATGAGATTGACGGATAAATGATTGGCCTTTTTTTCATGCTAGTCTCATATAGAAAATGAAGAGGTTACTAAAGTTACGACAATTCTTATACGACAGAATACAACTTCAGAAGTGATGTAATGTATTCCTTCATTTCCAAGCATGTGCAGTCTTGGTCACACAATTTTTATTTTTTTTTTGGACGAATACTGTACTGATTAATCAAAAGTCACTTGTTCTGGTATCGTATGAGAAAAATTTTCATGCTTGTCCCCTGGCACAATGGCGTCAGTACGCATTGAAGAATACGCACACACTAAGTACCATTGTGGTGTCTACTTTCCCAACGCTTTCACCCTTAGGGGGTTATTTACTAAAACCACATGGTGCAAAATGGCAAAGAAACCAATCGGCTTCCAGGTTTTATTGTCAAAGCTTAATTGAACAAGCTGAGGTTAGAAGCTGATTGGGTACCATGCACAGCTGTACCAAAATCTGAGTGCATCAGTTTTAGTAAATCTGCCCCTTAGCCTAGTACACACGATGAGAAAATCAGACGAAAAATACTGCTTTTGGAGCAACTGTCTGAATCTGATCTTTCGCACACAGCTTACACGTGCTGATTACGACAGTTAGTGCAAATAATTTTGCACTAACTGTCGTAATCGACACTTGTAAGCTGTGGTGTATACTTTCCTAATGCTTCTACCCTTAGTGCTAGGCAAGCACTTTTAACACTTTTTGATTAGTTTAATAAACTGATTTAGTGCTAAGATGTCTACTCCCTTCTTTGTTTTATAAGGGGCAGTGTTTGTATATCATTGGTGCAGATGTCCAAAGGAGATACACAAGTGCTGTTTGACATGCTTATTAAATTTAGAGGTCAATACCATTTGGTGAATGTAAAACCAAGAGTGTGCCATGGTGGAGGTGAACACCAAATAGGAGGTTTTGGCATTGGAAAGAAAATATTTTTTGCAAGAGACTGAACACTGCACATTTGGCTGAAGATTTGTTATTTTATGGACCTTTGCACTGTATGGAGTACTATAAAGTGTATGGTGTGGCGCTTTCATTTACTTTATTGGTGTAGATGCATGACTTCTATCAACTATAGCTAGAAATACTTTATTTGATTTTACACAAGATTTTTGTATTTATTGAGATTAGGTTAGAGGAGATTATCACTGTGTACAATTTTTTGTTGTATATTTACATATCTTTGATCTTTGTACGGTAGCTGAGATGGAGAAAGATTAGGAAGGGTGGTGAAGTTGAGCCCATCTTTATTACTGTATCTTTATTTACTGCAAGCACATTCACATCAGTCTCGGCCCTCAAGGAGCTTACAGTCTAAGATCTCTAATTCACATTCATACACATAGTACACATACTAGGGCCAAATTAAACAGGAGCCAGTTATCCTACCTTTGGCGTGTGGAAGAAAATCCACGCAGGCACAGGGGAACATACAAACTCCAGGCAGGTAGTGCCATGGATGGGATTCAAACTGATGACCCTATTGCTGCTAGGTCAAAGTGCTAACCACTTATTCGTTGTGCTGGCCATCTAACATATTCTTGCCAAAGATTTCAAGTATGATTAACCAGTTCACGACCTATAGGAGAATGACCACAGAGCGGGACTCCCGTCGCTCTGGGTGGGCGTCATATGAAGTCCTCCCAGACCGACGCCTTGCACGTACCTGTGGGGCAGTGCTGCAGTGTTGCAGTGTGATCTGTCGCTGGCCGTGCCCATTGGATGCAGCCTTTGACCGACCTGTGTGCTGGCCTGTTGCCGGTACCATGTGACTGCTGTGTCAAATCACAGCAGGTCACATGACAATTGTAAACGATGGATGGCTTCTTTTCATGCCATTCATTGTATACAATTGTGTTAGCTGTGACTGGTCACAATGATCACTTGTAAAGACTGGCCCAATCTGTGTCATGTGATTAGCTGTGGCCCATCACAGTTAATCACAACAAAAACACTGAATTAATTAATATTTTATTCAGTTAAATGCTATGGGCAATCATAATGTGTGTAAAAAAACAAAAAGAAAAATACTGATCACTTCCCCAGAGTAGTACAATGTTACTGTGTTAACATTATATTACTCTGGTCACAGTGTTTTATTTTTTTTTATTTAATATACAAAATTATTAAATACCACCAAAAGAAAGCGCTGTTTGTGTAAAAAAAAATGATAAAATAGTTTGGATACAGTGTTGCATGATCACGCAATTGTCATTCAAACTGTGAGAGCACCGAAAGCTGTAAATTGCTCTGAGCAGGAAGGAGGTAAAAGTGTCCTGTGTTGAAGTGAATAAAGACTGCCTAAACCCTAAACCTAGATTTCTGTTCTCCTTCAAACCTAATCATATTAGTATTGTTTTTTAATTGCAATAAATACAGCTAAATCTAATACTGATATTCTTCTCTTGTTAGGAAGAAGAAGATATACAAAGGCTTGTGCATTTCCTTCTTTGTGGTGATTACATTGACCATCCTCCACACGGGAACACCCCCCAATCTGCTTTTCACCCAGAAGAATATAGATTCTGAAATTCTGTTATCTGCTATAAAACGTGATACTTATCCCGCACCCGTTGGGTTTTGGTCAGACAGAAAAAATGGACATTTGGACACACCTACCACGGAAGATGCATATTCTAGTGAATGGGATATTGACGTCATCAACTGCACTGCCAACTGGAACCTTACCCATCTCGACTGGTTCAAGTCATTGGAGCCTAACTTTCAACAGTTCATCCTCTACCGTCAGTGCCGTTACTTCCCTATGATTATTAACAACCCACAGAAGTGCAGTGGAGATGTTGACCTCCTAATTGTGGTAAAATCAATAATCACTCAGCATGACCGCAGGGACGTTATTCGTAAAACCTGGGGAAAAGATAAATCGGTGAATGGGAAGAAAATAAGAACATTGTTTCTTTTAGGAACAGCTATGAAAGAAGAGGAAAGAGCTAATTACCAAAAACTTCTGGAGTTTGAAAACCAGATATATGGTGATATTCTTCAGTGGGACTTTTTGGATTCCTTTTTTAATTTAACCCTTAAAGAAGTAAATTTTCTTAAATGGATGACCATTTATTGTCCATCATGTGCCCTACATCTTCAAAGGTGATGACGATGTGTTTGTGAGCCCCACCAATATCTTAGACTTTTTGGATGGCAACAAGAACCATGATCTATTTGTAGGAGATGTCTTATACAAAGCTCACCCCATCCGCAGGAAAGAAAACAAATACTATATTCCAACATCTCTGTACAACAAAAACCTCTATCCTCCTTATGCAGGTGGTGGAGGCTTTATTATGGCAGGCTCTTTGGTCGCAAAATTGTTTAAAGCTTCTGAGACTTTGGATCTTTATCCTATTGATGATGTGTTTCTAGGTATGTGTTTGGAGGTCATCAAGGTCAACCCTATAATGCATGAAGGCTTTAAAACTTTTGGTATTGTAAGAAACAAGAACAGCAAGATGAACAAGGAGCCCTGCTTCTTCCGTAGCATGCTTGTTGTTCACAAATTATTACCTCCTGAACTGCTGCAGATGTGGGAGCTTGTACATAGTAATTTGACTTGTTCTCGAAAAGTTAACATTCTTTAGTGTCTGTGGAAAAGGACCTGTGGAGGAGTTAGGAAACAAAAGTACAAACTTGATTCCTTATTTTTTACGAAGGTTGTTTCCCTGGCAGGTTTAGGGATTCAACTTCCTTAAAGAATTATTTTTTTATGTTTATCAGAAATCGGACCTTGTGACTTTTGTTTAAAGAATTCCATGGAACTGCACTCTGGGTACGATATAGGCAATCATTATGAATGTGAATGAAAGCTTGTTTTCATCTCTGGGTCAATCAGCTGTGCTGTATGCAATGTGGTGGAGGCTCTCTCAATGTTTTTCTTTGGAAATGTCTGACTACGGAGCCCTTTTTATGGTACATGCAAAGATACTTAACCCAGGCTACATTTTACAGAAGCTTTAATTTTGCATAGTAACTTAACACTGGGTGTGCCTGCAACATGGTGTCGAGCCATGCAGCTTTCCTGATCACACAGTGATCTACAGTGGTGCTGTCCATACTCCTGGCTCACAGACTGCGTTGAAAAAAAAAAAAAATGAAAAAACAAACTGTGAGCTACAAGAACTTTATTTCCAATTTCTTGAAACGTTTTTGTTTTATAATATTTATGTTTAAATGTTTGGGGTAGTTCTTGTTTGTTGATTGACCTTTACTTTTTGATTGTTTTAAGGTATTTTTTGTTGAAAATTTTGTTAATTTATAAAAGTAAAATTTAAATTAAGGAGCATTGCCATGACTGTTTCTGTTTCAGTTAAAAAAATCATATTTCAAACTAAATAATAATGTTTTTGAATAACCATGGTAAATATTTTATGAAAGTGACATAGTTTAAGGGCTGGTTCACACCAAGCTTTCCAGTGCGTTTTTTTTTAAACTGAATCAAATATGCATGCACAGTGTTTTTTCCATGTATTCCAATGGCCCTATTTCATACCAGTGCGGTTAGTTTCAATTCAGTCAACAAACCTAGAACCTGTTGCATTTTTTTCATCTGGAATTTGGCAAAATGCATGCAAATGCACCGGAATGCACATTGTCCTGCACTACAAAAAAACATGGTAAAATGTCCCCCGTTTAAACTGTTTTTGCCAACATCCCAATATATAAAGACCAAGAAAAAATTGTAATGTTTCCCTGGGACTTTATATGGCAAAAATGCAGTTTTTGCCATATAAAGTCGCAGGGGAACATTACAATTTTTTCATTGTCCTGAATTAAGATAGTCTTCAAGTGTCAAAAGAAACTGGAACACTGGAACTCGGGAAAAAAAAAAGCATAAAAAATGCATCCAGAACACAGAAATTGTGGTATGAACCAGCCCTAGGTGTATGTCCCAGCCAATTTTTTTTTTTTTTTTTAAATTAAAGTTTTGGATAGCGCCAGAAAAGATTAGAACTTTTGTGGGACTTGCAGTTGTAAAGACATAACTTTTTTTTTTTCTTAAAGTGGAACTGTACTGTATCTGAGCAAAATGCTATTTTATTCATTGTTAATATTCAAAGCAAACTCACCCCTCCATCCATGTCTCTATGCTTTATTTTGCTGAGAATTAATTTTGAAAAACACCCCCTGGTATTTCTGGCAGTGGCTATCTTGAGTAAGGGCAGATGATTCATGTAGCATATACTTCGTGGAATCCATCTGCCCTTAACTCAGGCATTGACTGAGTGGAGAACCCTCCCTCCCCTCCTGAAGGCTCCTGGGATGTGTGACAACATTTTCCTAGTAATGAAAACCAGGAAGTAATTGAAAAAATGTAAAAAAAAAACAACAAAGTTTAAAACAAGTAAATATGTTAGGAAAGTATGTCTATTTATTAATGCTAGCAGCATAAGGGTTAAAAAAAGTCAATGTTGATTGAAAGAATGAAGTTCCACTTTAAAATAATAAACATGTTATTCTTAAATGCTCTGGGCAATAGTATTGCACAGAGCAACCCCTTACTTCCTTTTATGGGGTCCCCTGCTTGTGCTATCCACTCCTCCTTAACTGAGTGCCCCCTTAGCAAGCTGTGTGCTATGGGGGCACTCTTGAGCCAGGCTGTGTGAGTCCATAAACACACGCAGTGCAGCCCAGCCCTGCCCCCGCTTCAGAGGATTTAATTGACAGCAGCAGGAGCTGATGGCTCCCGCTGCTGCCTCTGTGTCTTGTGTGAAGAGGGTAAGAGAGAGCAGCGCCGTTGCAGACTGGCACAGCCCTGTGTTGAAAGAGCAGCCAGGTAGGTATTTCTAAGGGGGAGCTGGGGGGAGGGCTGATCATGAAATGTTTTTTACCTTAATGCAGAAAATGCATTATGGTAAAGACCTTATGACTTTAGAGCCACTTTAATTCCTTTAGTTCACATGCTGGAGGAAGTACAACTCCAATTGTACTTCTGGCCACTTCAGATGTAAGCACTGATGGTCTCATAGACCTCAGTGCTATTGTTATGTGTCTGCCTCCTTCTCCAGACTGTTTACAAAACAAAATCTGGGGATGTGTTTTGGAAGAGGAGGTTGTGATGAGGAGGAGAAGAGGCAGAGACATGACTGTAACACTGGAGTCTGAGACCTGAATTGCTTGCATCTGGAGCAGCCAGAAAGTACAGAAGAAGTCGTACTTCATGACATGTAACCTGATATTCCAGACATTGAAGTATATGTGCATGACAGCAATGTGCTATACTAATTTTTGCGTCAAGACTCTTCTGGCATGTTGTTAGCTGCTTATAGAAGTGTGGGATTTAAAAAAACAAACAAACATTCATTCTCACCTATGTGGCTGCAAGCTACAGTTTTCTGCCTCCAACCTCCCAACTGCAGGGAGCAGGCTGTCCGTGGTCATGAGCCACCAAACTTGCAACAATCCAATACTCCAAAGAAGAAGGGAGAGACTTCTCGGTTATTGATGCACCTACATTTCCCCTGGTGCCAGGAAACAACCCTCACGTGTTTTGCTCCTCAGAGCTTAATCATAGGGTGGCAACATCTACATTATATGGTGCTGAGTTCCAGCAGCAATGCAGTGACCTCCTGACCCTTTACTGGAACAAAACCAAGTTGGGATGATCACTGCTCAGGAAGCCTTGTGTAGGTCCTTGTTTCTTTGCCTCAGCCAATCCTTTCTCACTTGTCAGAGTGAGGTATACGTATCAGCCTTCACGGCCATTCAGGCACAGGACATTCCAGATGTTTGGGTCCAAAAAAACGACAAAATGGTTTTGGTTCATGCCTCCACCCCACGTCATACTATTAAACTTGCCATCCTCCCCACCAAAGTGGCCATATCTTTACACTGCTCTCCATCTCCATGTGATCCTTTCTCAGGGGGTCATGCCCTGGCTCCAGAAAAAGAGGCTTCAGAGATTTACACCAGCTTGTTCACATCCACAAGGCAAAGGGAGGTATTCATCCTTTCTGGATCTGAAGATTCCCAACAGGTTCCTCAGATTCATATTCCATATGGGTTTTGCTAGGTCAGAAATCCCTTCCCTTCAGCTGGGGGACTTCCTGACCATTGGATACCTACTTGCACATCCCCATAGTCTAGCTACTTCAATGCTATCTGTGTTTTACTGTGAGCAGTCAACATTACCAGTTTGTTGCCCTGCCCTGCCCTTTTGGCCCATCCACGACACCCGGGGTCTTCACCAAAGCGTTAGCTCCTGTCCTAGCTTTGCTGCTCTCTTAGAGTATCCCTATCATCCCATCATGGCTGCGACTAACATATACAAAAGGAGTGGGTGCAGAAGGTTTTACAGTGAGTACAAAAATCTTCTCATCCTGGGCCTTTATATATATATATATATATATATATATATATATATATATATTATATATTTATTTTAGTACCTCGGTTTATGAATTTAATGCGTTCTCCAGGATGTTTCGTATTGCGAAAAATTCATAAACCAAACCGCGATTTCCCATAGGAATGCATTGAAAAACACCTCCACAGTTGACACCACGTGCTACCCACAGACCACCCACAGACTCCAGCATGCACGGGGGCGGCGCTATAAACCTCCCAGGCGCAGTGCATCCTGGGGAAACTTGCTTCGTATTTAGAAAAAAAAATTGTAATCTGGGGCATTATTTTCAATGGATTTTCATTCATTTTCACCAAAAATTACGTTAACCAAGGCGTTTGTACACCGAGTTACCACTGTGTGTGTGTGTGTATGTATGTGTATGTATATATATATATATATATATCTCCTACAGATATAAAACCTCACTTTAAAGCCTCAGTTTGGTAATGTTATGAAAGGTGAACTTCTCCTTTTAAAGAAGAACTTCAGCCTGGCGATATTCTCCACCTGACAATCCACCATGCTGACATCTTCAACTACCTCGAGTGTGTGCAGCAGTGCCATAGGTCTCTGCCAGGCATTTTAGATCTAGCAGAGACCTGTGGTGTGCCTGTACATGCATGAACAATTCCAGCATACACATGCCATTATCTGTGACCTGTGTCATGTTTGTACACGTGTGGCAATCTCCCCTGTGTGCACAGACATGCAGCAGGTATCTGCCAGTGCTGAAATACCTGGCAGAAAGCAATATCATGTCTGCATGCAAGGAATCTCACTGCCTCCATGAGCCCCCCAAAAAACATTGCCTTCTGGAATATGTGACTTGGGGGTCCCTACATAATTCTCACTTCATCAGGCAGGCGTTTTTGCTGAACATTAATACCATTTAACTTCATTATAGGTGTTTGGTGCGGTTTTAACGCTTGGCAAATGCCTATCAACCACCTCAAAACAGTACATAGGGCGTTTGGGCAGCATTTGAGGAGCGTTAAAAACACTTCCCAAACACCTAACGCCTGTCAAACGCTATAGGGGCCTTTGGCAAGAGTTAGAAATAAAGTCAAGTGTGAACGAGCCCTAAGGCCCCGTTCACACCATACATGCATGAAAACTGGTGGAAACTGATGTGCAAATTTCACTTGCAGAGACATCAGTTTTCATGCACTTCCATGAGTTTATACATGTTGCAAATTCTGCACAGAAAAAAAATGCTGCAGGTGGTACTAGTGTTGT